AAAAAAAACTAATCAGAGTTTGGGAATCAGGGATTCAAGCAATAATTCATGATGGAAAGGCAAATCTTTTACCCTTGTTAACAATGTCACCAGATTTAGGAGGATGATTTCCAACTTGAAAATAAACATCTAGATTGGATGCCAGGATATTTATGTTGAATTTAGCCATAAAGCCCACAATGGTTGGCTATAAATTAATTTATAATAAATTATAAATTAATAACAGTGTGGCAAAAGAAAGTAAAGATAGTATCAAAGGTAATAAGCACCTTGAGTGCAACACTTGAGTACCGTCAGCATTGACAAATGGTTGCCGGATTGTACCAAGAGCAGATACTTCATTGCTTTGTGACCCTATACTCTCTAGCCTCCCATTGCTTAAAGATATCCTTAGACCATGAGCGTTACTATGCAGAAGACCAATTCACCTCATTTAGTTGAGTTTCAGCCTTGGTTGCATCCCAAATAACATCTTTCTGTGAGGCATTCAACTTTGGCCACAGAAGGGAATACCAATTAATCCACCCTATTTTCTTTTAAGCATGGTGCCAGTGGCCAATTAGGCAAAAGGTTACACATTGTAGCAACAGCTTGGGAAATCAGTGCAGACTGAAGTTGCTCTGATTAAACAAGTGCTCTGTGTCCTGGAGAGAAGGGGAGAGATGGAAACTGAGAGGGTGGTGTGTGGGAGAAATAAGATGAGAATTACAAATAGGAAAAGGGATTAAAAAAAAGTGTAGGGCAGAAACTGAAAAGAAACAAAAAGATAAAAGAATGAGAAAAATAGATGCTTGCAGGTTTGCTGTTTTTTTAAAATACAGAGAATCCCCTGCAGCTCAAGCTCCCTCAGAAATTCAGAGTTATTTACGGTATATAATTTTAAGATATAATTTCCTTTATTTGGAAGAATTAAAATAGTCAAAGATGGTGCTAATTTCATTAAAAACTGTAGGGGGAGTTTTGCAAAGAACAGAGAAAGTCTATTTAAAAAAAAGACAGAGTAACTCTTTTACTTCTCTTTAACAATTCGAAAGGCTCGCCCATTAAAAGAAGCACATGGCAAATGGAATACCACCTCCTCCTCTTCCTCCTTTGAGGAACTATTGATTCCTGGTGGCTGCCTGTACTGGTCCCTATAGTAAGAGCTGTGGTGGCACAATGGTTAGAATGCAGTATTGCAGGGCTAACTCACTTCTGAGCGGGTTAAGGTTGGCTCAGCCTTCTATCCTTTTGAGGTCGATAAAATGAGGACCCAGATTGTTGGGGGCAATAGGCTGACTCTGTAAACTGCTTAGAGAAGGATGTAAGCATGATGAAGCAGTATATAAGTCTAAGTGCTATGGCTATTGCTATTTGGATGTGGTTTGTCTTCTTCCTACAGATGAGAAAATGACCGGTGCAAGGTTATTTAGATGGGGTTCTGCCTAAGGTAGGACCAAGTTTTTAACTTGATGCCTTAACCACTATACTAAACTGGCTCTCATAGGTCACTCGACCAGGCCTGTCAAACTGGCAGCCCGCAGACAGGATGCATCACATGCAGGCCACGTCCACCCCGGCTCCGCAAAGGCAAAAAATATTGCAATATGTCATGATATGTCACGTGATGTGATCAAGTTTGACATCCGTACTCTAGACTCTCCAAAAAGGTTTAAGGATATTGAACAATTTTATATATTGTATAACCAGTTAAATATGGCTGAAGAATAATCCCATCCAAGATGGAAAAATTCAACCAGCTCTTTAGCTAATTTCATGCCTCCCTTCCTCATCAGATCCTGTTCCTTTCAGACAGAAACAAGGCAAATCTAGACAGCATTCTAAAAAGTAGAGACATCACCCTGCCAACAAAAGTGCGTATAGTCAAGGCTATGGTTTTTCCAGTTACAATGTATGGTTGTGAAAGTTGGACCATAAGGAAGGCTGAGCACAAAAGAATTGAGGCCTTTGAACTATGGTGCTGGAGAAGACTCCTGCGGGTCCCTTGGACTGCAAGACGATCAAAAGGGTCAGTCCTAGAGATCAACCCTGACTGTTCTTTAGAAGGTCAGGTCCTGAAGATGAAACTGAAATACTTTGGCCACCTAATGAGAAGGAAGGACTCACTGGAGAAGAGCCTAATGCTGGGAAAGATTGAGGGCAAAAGAAAAAGGGGATGGCAGAGAATGAGGTGGCCGGATGGAGTCACTGAAGCAGTAGGCATGAGTTTAAATGGACTCCAGAGGATGGTAGAGGACAGGAAGGCCTGGAGGAACGTTGTCCATGGGGTCGCGATGGGTCGGACACGACTTCACAACTAACAACAACAAGTTCAACCTCTTTCCCATAGAAAGAATTCTCAGATTGTCCTACCTAGACCAATAGCTTGGTCTACTTGGCTTGAGAACTTTTAATGGGGGAGCCCCCACAACTTCAGGAGGCAGACTGCCCTTAATACAGATAGTCCTCAACTTACGACCACAATTGAGCCCAAAATTTCTGTTGCTAAGTAAGGCATTTCTTAAGTGAGTTTTGCCTCATTTCACGACTTTTCTTGCCACAGTTGTTAAGTGAATCATTGCAACTGTCAAGTTAGTAACACAGTTGTTATGTGAATCCAGCTTCCTCATTGACTTTGCTTGTCAGAAGCTTGCAAAAGGGGATCACATGACCTTGGGACACTGCAACCATCATAAATACGAACCAGTTGTCAAGCATCCGAATTTTGATCATGTGACCATGGGAATGCTGCAACGGTTGTAAGTGTGAAAAATGGTTGTTAAGTGCCGTCGTAACTTTGAATGATCAGTAAATGAACTGTTGTAAGTTGAGAACTACCTGTAATTCTTCCACTCAGGAATTTATCCTTTTTTTTTTTTAGTTTGAATCTCTCTGTGTAAAGCTTGCATACTCTGGTTCTTGCTGTATCCTCAGGCAGGGCAGAAATAAATCCCTGCCTTTTTTCATTTTGATAGCCCTTCATGTACATTTTGCATAGGCAAAAATTTCTGGGTTTCCAGGTGTTAATGCAGAAATTCTTGTTCCTTATAAAGATATGGGAGCTTTGCCCTTTCTCTGGGGCGTTTATATCTTGGCAGAGAGTCAGATAGTCAAAAATAGTTCATAAGGCTTGCACTGTAACAATTGTTGGCATGGAGTTGCTCCAAACAAACTTTGCATAATTCATTCATTCAAAATGTACTGTGCATCATTCATGCAATCATTTGCATGTTCTTCTTTAGCTTCTCCTCTTTTTATAAAGCTATCTTCCCAATGGGTTTAATGTGATCTTTGAGCTATCCTCCATCTTTTGGGGTTTTTTCCTATATTTTAAAAGTGAATCTGGATTACTAATTTAGATCGTAATGTCAGGCGCAGAAGACCAGAGTCATACATTAAGTTCCGATTAAACTGATTTATTGCTCGTGTCTATGCACAAGAATCTAGTCAAGTAACGGTCAGCACTATTTTGGTGCTAGATAAGGTTAATGGAATTTAAGAGGAGTTGGACTTAGACCACTTGTGGGAAGGGGTAGAGATTCTAGGCTGATTCCTCTTTTGACTCCACCCCCAAGCTCTATCACTCCTTTACTTATTCTTCCTTAAAATCCCAAAGCAAGTTTGAATCTTGATTTTGTTTTCTGCATGCAGGCTTTCTTAATTAGTATCAAGTGGTCTTTGACTGTCTAGGCATAAACACAGACTTGCAACTTCTTCCAGGCACCCGCTCAAATAGTTCCTCTCACCTGCTTATTATGTTCCTTTTTCTGTGCTTTATGTACTTACTTTTGTTTACCCAGAAAATAAACAACACGATGGGTGTGTGTGTGTGTCTGTGGTGCTCATAATTGAAGAGGGGGAAAAAAGAGTCTTTTTAATAAGTAGAAACCACACTCTGTACTTTGAACCAACTTCATTGTAACTGCACAGGGAAGAATACCAGATGCTGTCCATTTGGCAGTGGACTCTCCCCCTCAAGTCTTTGTAGGCATGACATCATCTTGTCAACTGGTGAATGATACTTATTGCAAATATTTTTTTTAAAACTGGAAAACTATGAAGATATCAATAGAGCTCCCTCTGAGGCGAACAAATGCCACGTGTTGTTACTGTTTGAACATCACCACAAAAGATTCCATTCAGATCAAGAGTGTACACGGATGTGAGTGAGAACTGTCAGACAATAACAAATCAGGATTTCTTCGTTTCACACACTGCACAATTCCAATGGAACGTTTCTACAGAGGCCCAGGAATCTATGTGGAAATTGGGTAGATTTCAGGGTGATTTATTTCAACATGTGTGGTTTTGAGAGTAGGATTGCCTCAGGTATCACAACACCTTTGTTGTGCACTTATGTACAACAATGTACACAATACACATGTACATTGTATACTATCTACATTATATGTAATACAATGTATTACGTATAATGTGCATAATACACAATGTAATATATAATAATATAACAATGTACATAATACAACCCCCAATACACATATACCCTAAAATGAAATGGAAGCCCACAGGTATGATCACATACTCATGTTATAATCTCTGCATTAATAATACATATTAATTCTCTCTTGCTTTGGTTTCTATGCCAGATTTGGTGGTGGGTGGTGGGGGCTAATTAGTTGTCTTACAATGGCCGCACAGATGCTCTATACAGTATTGTCAAATAGGCATTTGGATGTAGAGATGAGCATTCGGGGGGGGGAAAAACAGGAATAAGTGCTATCAATCAATGGTCTTGTCTGGTGGGGAATTATAGGAAGGGTCATCCAACAGATCTGAAAGGCACCAGGTGGAGAAAATGCCTTAAATTCGGAAGGACGTGCCAACTTTCTTCCTCCTAAAAACAAAAGCATCAAATGGAAGGCAAGGCATTTCCTATAAAGAGAATCTGTTGGGAATGTTAGGGAGGCGCCCAGAATTCGACTTTGTTTGTTTAAAGGATCACGAAGCTCTTACGGTATTCTCACGAGAAATGAAGCGCTGCGGCAGGGAAAACAAAAGGCACCACGTAGTTCCATCAAAGCAACCAGCTCCCAGAGCGAAGGCACCCGGCTACCGCTGGGGATCCCTTCCAGGGGCAAAATCCGGCGATCTTTTCGGTGCGAAGGCCGAGAAAGCGGCCGTCCAATCGGGCCTCGGAGGGGCGGGCTTGGAGGCCGGGCCAGGCGGATCGTTCGGTAGAGGACGGCGCTCAGTCCGCCCGGGCCACTGGCTGCAAGAGAGAGAGAGAGCTACTCTCGGTCCCTCGAGGCTGATGTTGCTGGGATGGATCCCTCTCCGCGGTTCTTCAGCTGGGACGAGATCAAGTCTTACTCGAGCCGGGCGCCGGAGCGGTGGCTGGTGATTGACAGGAAGGTCTACGACATCAGCCGGTTCCACAAAAGGCATCCGGGAGGTTCCCGCGTGATCAGCCATTATGCTGGACAAGACGCCACGGTGAGAGAGGGAGGAAGGGAGGGAAGGAAGGAAGGAAGGAAGGAAGGGATGAAGGACGACTGCCTGGAGGAGATCCCTCTGAGCTGTCGGGGGCCTGGGAGGGAACATGAGAGGCGGGAAGGCAGAGATTCTTTCTGAGCATCCTCTGGTTTGATGATGGAGGCTGGGAGACCACTTGCAGAGAGCTCGATTGGAAGCATGGATGGAGAGATGCTTCAGGAACAAGATGTTTTGGGACCTACAGTGCAGAGTATCTGAAGCTAAATGAATGAGCCTCCATGTATCACAGTCCACATGATGCATTCTTAGAAATTATCTCCATGCTGCACAGGTGTTCCCAGGAAGAGCACTGTGGTCTACCCCTTCCCTGAATTACATTGGAAGGCTCCACCCAGCCAGGCTGAAGTCCTTTGTATGGCAGAGCTGTCCTGTTCTCCTAGCAAATTATGATCTATTTGTTATTTGGATCAAAATTTGAGAAGGGGCCACAGTAAGCCTTTGCTCTGGCAACAAGTGCAGAAGAGCTGAGGGCAGCTCCTGTGTAGTGAAAGAAAGAGCACTCTGCACATGTTCAGAAGAACAATGGCTTAATAATGGCTGAGTTCTGAGGTTAGCACTGATCCAAAAGAAGGCAATAGATTGGAGACTTTCTAAAAATTGGGAGTTATAGAATGACTACCAGGATGAAAGAACTTGTTTAAAAGTTCATGTAAGGGAAACTTTTTAAGGTGGCATGAGTTTTCCTGGACTAGAGGAAAGCTTGTACAGTACTATATTTTCACTCCCGTAGACCCTAATCCAAGAAAATCATTGCTAGAATGTTCTTTCCACTGTAGAATGTTTATGATCAAAAGTAAGATGAGAAGGACAAGAACAAAGAAGACTGTGTATGTGTGGAATGTAGAAATTTACCTCCTTATGCCAAAAGCAAAAACTCAGTCCCTGGATCAGAGGTATTGAGGTATGTTCTGCAACCACACGAATGACTGAGTAGACACTGACCAACATAGTAAAGGTCCTGAAAGGACTTGTATGTTTTTTCCCTCCACTCCTCATCCTTCTAGAGTTTTGGATTTTAGCTTAGTCCATCACTTCTGGAAGATGTTCCCCCGAAAGTCCTCTGGAAGGATTCCAGAGGCTTGGAGGGTGAGAGCTCCTCGGTCAGCCCACTAAGAAGCTCCGGATCTGGGACAACTCTGTTTTAAACAGAGCCAGACGCCGCGTCCGATCCTGCTGTCAAAAGTGAGTCTGATTGATTGCAAGCGCAGGCAGAGCGGAAACAGGAGAACAAGCTTTAAAAGTAACAGTGCTTAACTCTGGATTTACATTGTTTCTAGTTGAATCTTTTTGAGCTGGAGGCTGAAGATGGCACCTTTGTTTTGGGTATGAAAGTGAAAGTCAGAAACGAAAGTATTTATTGAGAACTTTGCACTTTGAGAGTGGATTAAAGCTGTTGGAAATTGAGAGCTTGTGGAGAAAAGACTATTTTGTTTGATAAATCATAGACTATAAATTGCAAGCTTTTGAAAACTGCTCAAGGGACTTTGAGGCCGTGAAAGGAAAAAAGATCTTTATTTTTTTTTTTAAAAAAGATGGCTTCTAAACAAGTTAAGCCAGGAGCTCCTAGAGGTGGAGGGAGTTGTCCCCTGTAGTGTCAATAGTGACACAGAAAGCACAACTTCCGGCTGATTCACAGAGCCAGGAGGCTTCTTTTAATGAACTCAAAGAATTTATAAAGGAAGCCATGAATAATCAAGCTGCAGCTATGAATAATCTAACAGTAATTATGGAAGGGAAATTAAAGAAATTTGAGGAGGATATAAAGTCAATCAAAGAAGTTGTTGCAGTAAAGCATGATAAAATAAGAGATGATATTGTTTTTGCAGTCTCAGGACTGTCAAAACTTATTATCCAGGTGGAAGGGAGAGTGGAAGAAATTGATGAAGCCAATTTGAACCTGGAAAACAAAGTAGGAGACATCATGAGTAAAACAGAGAAGGTGGATGATGAACTGGTAATGTTACAATACAGATCTATGGAATTTGCTCTGAGACTGAGAGGGCTAAAAGAAAAGAGCCAAGAAAACTTAAAGAACATTTGTGCAGAAGCAATTGCAGGGCTAATCAAAGAAAGTCCAGATGATGTGGCAACTCGAATTGATAAAATCTACAGGGTTAATTCTTGGGTGGCAAGACAAAGGCAGTTACCAAGAGATTTGGTGATTTACTTTACAACCAGGAGGATCAGAAATGACATCCTACAAGCTTCCTACAAGAATAAGGTTCAAGTGGCTGGACAAGAAGTGCTGGTTCTGAAAGAGATCCCTCCAAAAATGCTAAGAAGCAGAAAGGATTTTGGCTTTTTGGTAAATGAACTGATTAAAAAGGTTAAATATCTAGGAGTATATATTGCAGCTTCAAATACGAAATTATTTAAAAACAATTATGAAGTTCTTTGGCAAAAGTGCAGAAAGAAATGGAAAATTGGAAAAAGCTACAATTATCTATACTAGGAAGGATATCAGTAATAAAAATGAATGTACTACCTAGGTTTTTATTTTTGTTCCAAATGATATCAGTGCTTAAGAAAGATGGAAACTTGAGGGAGTGGCAAAAAGGGGTTAATACCAGGGGTGGGTTCTAAATTTTTTTACTACCAGTTCTGTGGGCGTGGCTTATTTTGTGGGTGTGGCTTGGAGGTCATGTGACTAGGTGGGCGTGGCTTAGCTGATCAGAGTCATTTCTGGAAGGTCCTCACACTTACGACCAGTCCTCGCACTTACGACCCGACTCATTTGTTTGCTTTTAACACTGATCAGCTGTAGGACGGCCCTTTGAAGCCCCGCGGCAAGAGTTTAAACAATTTTTTTCCCTGTAGTCATCAGCTGGGACTCAGGGGGCAGCAATAGATTGGGAGTGGGACCAAATAAAAGGTAAGAATAACATGGGTGGATGGATGGGGTGGAAGGGCGGGGGCGGGGAGAACCGGTTCGGTGATGTCATATCGTCACCGCTACCGGCTCGGCCGAACTGGACCGAACCGGGAGGCACCCACCACTGGTTAATACCTTTATTTGGGGTGGGAAGAAACCAAGAGTGAAACTGAAAATTATACAAGATGTACGTGAGAGAGGAGGTCTTAAAATGCCCAATTTAAGATTGTATTATGAAGAAGCTGTTTTATCACAAATTAGTGATTGGTTTAATTTAACTGAAGAGAGAATGCTAAAAATGGAAGATTATGATTTGTTATATGGATGGCACGCCTATTTGTTATATGAAAAAAAGTGGATAAAGTGTTTAAGGGTCATATACTTAGAAATGCGTTGCTGAGGGTTTGGAAAAAGTATCAATATAAGATAAACTACAAGATACCTATATGGGCAAATCCTACACACGCAATAGAAAATATAAGTACAGAACAAAAAATGGAGGTGATTACTTATAAAGAACTTCTTTTTATGGAAAGGGGTAAACTGCAATTGAAATCTTTAAATGTATTGAAAGAACAAGGGATAATCTATACTTGGTTTCAGTATGGTCAGCTTCAAGCTAGATGGAGGGAAGATCAAAAAATTGGTGTCATGCAAAATGAGGAAAACTTGGTAAAACAGATTAGAGATCAAAGTTAGGTGCATATTAAAAGATTGTATAATGCTTTATTGGAAATAGATTCAGAAACGGAATCAGTTAAAGATTGTATGATAAAATGGGCACAAAACTTTCAAGAACCTGTGATGATGGAAACATGGGAAAAGATTTGGGTTAGAAATGTTAAATTTACGCAAGCACAAAATTTGAGAGAGAATTTTTATAAAATGTTTTACAGATGGCACTTAGATCCTAAAAAATTATCATGTATGTACCTGAATTTGCAAGCTAAATGTTGGAGATGTGAATGTGATGATGCAACTTATTATCATATATGGTGGACTTGTAAGAAAATCAAGGCATTTTGGATAAAAATTTGGTGGGTGATGCAGAACATTTTGAAAAAAAGGTTGAAATTTACTCCTCAATTGTTTTTATTGGGTATAACGACGGATTGTACAGTATTAGAGACTAAATTGATCTTGAACTTAATATCAGCAGCTAGACTGTTGGTAGCGCAATACTGGAAGAAGGACTCTTTGCCTACTATTGAAGAATGGACATTGAAAGTAGCGAATTTAGCGGAAATGGCGAAAATTTCAGCATATCTGAAGGACCATACACAAGAAAGATACATATCGGAATGGAGAAGATGGATTGATTATATTCAAAATAAGTATCAGACAAGAAAATATCAAATAGCTTATGAATGAAGGTTAAATTCTACTTTAGAAGTATTATGTTATCTATAGTGGAGTTAAGGTTTCGGGGGTGGGGGGAATAGGTAGTTTAAGAATAGTTAGGCTAATTTAGCTTATGATTGTTAATTGAAATACCCTGTATTTTGCTCTGGGAAGTCTTGGGGGGGAGGGTGGGAAAAGGGTGGGGGGAATAGGGGGGGAAAAATCTCTTTGTAAAACTTTTCAATAAAAAAAATTTACTACCAGTTCTGTGGGTGTGGCTTGGTGGGTGTGGTGTGGCTTGGTGGGCGTGGCAGGGGAAAGATACTGTAAAATCTCCATTCCCACCCCACTCCAGGGGAAGGATACTGTAAAATCTCCATTCCCTCCCCAATCCAGGGGAAAGTTACTGTAAAATCCCCATTTCCTACCAATCAGTTGGGACTTGGGAGGCAGAGAATAGATGGAGGCGGGGTCAGTCAGAATTTTTACTACCGGTTCTCTGAACTACTCAAAATTTCCGCTACGGGTTCTCCAGAACTGATCAGAACCTGCTGAAACCCACCTCTGATGTGCAGGGAGTCTTATTGCCCCCTACAAACCTTCAAGGTAGCTGAAGCATGAGTCACTTTGGCTATGTTCACTGAGAGACAGTAGAACAATTGGACTATGAAGATATCTCTAGCTCTTTCTAAGAACACCGCCATGGGTAAACAGCATCTTAGACCAG